CCCCAAAACCCCAAAACCCCAAAACCCCAAAGCTAATAAAAGCAGTTGAAAGAAGATTAGTCAGTAAGTAAAGCTTATTAAATAATTATACTATTATAGATTGGTATATAGACAAGCAAAGATATTGAGCTTACATCATTGAATAATTTACAAACTTAATATTCCAATATGAAAAGGCTGGAATTTAGGAAATGATTTTGCCCTTTCTGGGTTATAAACATCATCACCTTAGATTCCCTCCATGGACATTTGACATATATTATTTGTACTCTCATTCGAATGAGAAGTGCCTTGTTTAGTTATGGTTGATCATTCAATCTTAGATTTCTGATGTTTATCAGTAAAGGAGGAGGAGTTAGAGTAGCCAGTCTTAGTAGTAGTATTATTTACAGGGTAACCTAAGTATTCATCGAATTCATTGATTTCATCAGAATTACTCTAATCTGTCGTTGATCGCTTATTTGATTTTCTATTATGCACGGTGTTATGACTAGAATTTCTATGTGGGGAAAGATGTGAAAACTCAAGTTCCTCAATATTATTACTTTCATCATTATTTCCCTTCTTATCATCCTCAGATATCATAGGTGTATCAGCCTCAGTAGTTGCAGAGCCTAGCTAATCATCACTTTCTTGCTTCTGTAACTTTATTAGAGGAGCCTCTTGAGCCTTACTGATCTCAATTTGTGATTCAATTAACTTGAGTTGCTCTTTCTGCTTTTTCTTGAGGAGCTTCTTTTGTTGCTTCTTAATTTTTTTCTTGTCCTTGCGCTTTCTCATGTTCAGGACTTTCCAAAAGCTACGGATAAGTCTGCTGATAGCCATAAATGTGATAAAGAAGAAGGTGATGTTATCCTCAAGGCACTTATGAAAGCTAGTGGGCAAGCAATTTCTTACAAAGAGTAGTGTAATATATATGCAGATGGTCGGTACGGCATTAAAGATGAAGTTTACCTTGGTCTTTTTCAGCTTAAAGGCCTTCTTTTTCACTATTTTAGATAAAAATAGCAACTTGAATGAAGATGAAGCTAAGCATCTTATCACTATTACAAAGATGAAGTAGATGGCGTTAGTCTCAAACTTAAAGCCTTAATTTATGGATGATAATAGACTAATGCCTTTGCCATAGCCCTTGAAAGTTTCTTGCAAAACCAAACGAGTGTCGCTCTTCATTATTTTGTTTAAGAAATTCTTTCCATGCCTCGAGTGAAAATAAAAGAAAGTAGAGAGGTGCAAGCCAAGTAGAATGAAAAAGCTCTGATCAATAAGAGTTGGTAGGCTTCCAGTGATCAGTATTTTGACAATGAAAATGCTCATAAACTTTTAGCATAACAATATGATGAATGCGCTCACATTAGATATTTTCCCGTCATACTTCCTATTTAAAGTGAGTAAATACCAAGAATTATAAATTAGCTTATAAAATCATTTAACACTCTATTCCATTCATGTTTTCCTGATTAAATATGAGTCAGGTCATTACTAGATGACTTTTGACCATATTTAGGGAAAAAGTTAGAAACTCAAAAATTAAAAAATTTTCCAAATTAATTTTTCCTATCTTATTTAGGACTAGGAATGGTAATTCCATCGAGTCAAGTATAGAGTGAATGACTGAGAGGAGTAGTAAGAGGGTATTGAGTGTAATGGACTTACCTGAGTGATAGATCATTGATTATAAGTGAGTTTATGAACAATAGAATTTTAAGGGTGCTTTTTAACTTCTATTGCACTAGTATCTTGTACAGTATCACAGCCACTGCTGTTAAAATAACAGCCAGAAATACTCTCTTTTTTATCGGAGTTTTCGCCACCTGTGCTTAATTCATTTTTTATTTAAAATTAATATTAGAAAAGAATGGCAATGTGTAATATTGGATTAGTGGGGTTTTGGGGTTTTGGGGTTTTGGGG